ATTGTTATAGAGCAAGATAGAAAAGACTAGTTACAAGCACCAGGGATTAATGCTAAAGTATAGCTAAATTTTCAACCAAAAAACTAACCTAATGATTCTACACATCCTTGCTTTCAGTTTGAGGCTGTTATATAGAACTATAAACCATCCAGCATCATATCAATTGCACAAAAAGCAACACAAAGCCAGCCATTACTTTCCCGCCATTATGACGTCACGGGGAAAATAAATTCTCACGTGATCTGCATTTGGCGAAAAGACTGAACAACCCCATCCATTTAAAAATGCTAGTGCTGGAAGAGGGTGGTTTGAGGGCTTCATGAGACGTCATCCCAAATTGTCAATCAGGTCACCTCAGCCTTTATCATATAGCCGAGCTGTTTGTGAAAATCAAGATACAATCAATGACTTTTTTGGTAAGCTCGGGGCTATATATGGAAGACTTAATTTGGTGTCAAAGCCTATGCAAATATATAATTGTGATGAGACAGGTGTTACGATAGTTTTTAAACCAGGCAAAGTCATAGCAGAAACGTTTATGCTGTCTCTGCAGCTGAGAAAGGTCGTACTCATACCATCCTGTCATGTGTTTCTGCTAGTGGTATTTCTTTACCTCCTATGATGATATACCCTCGTAAAAGACCCGTTCCTCCACTGCAAAAAGAAGGAGCAGTCCCTAATACTCTCTTTGTTACTAGTGATTCAGGATGGATAACATCTGAGCTGTTCGTTGAATGGTTTAAATTTTTTATTCAAAATATACCACCAACTCGACCTGTACTTCTTCTACAAGATGGACATGGTTCACATGTTTCGATTGAGTTGATTGAATTGGCCCGTGCCAATGACATTCACTTACTTTGTTTACCATCTCATACTAGTCATCTGCTACAGCCCTTAGATGTGGGGGTTTTTAAATCCTTTAAAAGTAACTTTAACAAGGCATGCAGTAATTATATGAGTCAAAATCCAGGACGAGTTGTTACAGTAGATGTGATTGCTTCATTAGTTGGTGAAGCATATCCAGCATCATTCACACCTATGAATATAATGAAAGGCTTTAAGAAGACTGGAGTGTGGCCCATTAATCCTGGAGAAGTGACTGACCGACAAATAGCACCATCAAAAGCTTATTCCACTCACCAAAGTACTCCAGAGCCTAGGAATATTTCTGATCAGCTGCAAGGTAGTCTGCTGTTTTCACCCAAATTAGAAGCATTGTATCAAAAGAGATATGAGGAAAAATATGATTTACAAGACCGGGCTATATTGCATGGCTGAAAATCAATCATCCTGAATTGAATGTCAGTGATACTTTGTCTGATAGCTCATCCTCTCACTTATCAAGTGAGAGAAGTAAAGCATCTTCTGACCTTCAAGAATTGCTAGTACTGCCTGAAGCGAAACGTGTTACAAGGAGAGGAGGTCTCAATAGCAGAGCAATATGTATTACTGAATCTCAGGTTTTGGAAGAAATGAAGGCAAAGGAAGAAAGGAAAAAACTCAATGAGCAACTGAAAGCTGAAAGGAAGATTGAAAGAGAGAGAAAGAAAATTGAGAAAGAGGAGATGAAGAAAGAAAAAGCAAGGCAGAGACAAGAAAAACAAGGACAGAAAGGAGCAAGATCAGAAAGAAGAAAAGGTACAGCGAAGACACCTGAAGAGGCTAAACTAGAATGTCTGGTCAGTGAACTGAAATTGGATGATTCAGGGCAGGAAACAGATGCTAGTGATGATGAAGCTATATGCCCAAAATGTGGAATTTCATCTCTGGAAAGTAATGACTTATGGATCGCATGTGATGGTGGCTGTGAAAAGTGGTTTGATTTTAAATGTACTGGTGTTAAGAGTAAAAAATGTATACCTGAGATCTTTATCTGTGAAAACTGTTTGTAAGAACAACATAAACCATTTTTTTGTTTGTGTCTCATATTTAGTGTTTTGTCTCATAATTCATTTTTAGAGAAAGAAAATTTTGCAATTTTTAAAATCTTTGTAGGGAAGTATAAGTTACGTTTGTAATGTTATCCCAATAGCCCATAATGTAAACAAATACATAAAAAGATTTTGTTCAAAAATTCAACTCCTGTCTCAAGTTATCAGCATTTTTCTGTATGTGTCTCATAACTGCCACACCTACTCTATCTCTGTTAATTTACTTGACAAACAAAATAGTAATAGTTATAACAAAGGATTATAGCATTATTATTATTACCACAGTTATAAATCTCCTTGCCATCTTCCCGACTCTTTCTGTCTCTTTTTAGCAGCTTCAGTAGCAGCATATCTCTCCTCCACCCCCTCAATCTGCCCCAGTTTCCCAGACTGATAGTCACTATAAGCCTGCTGTATCTCCGCCCATGTATTTATCACAAAAGGTCCTGAACGAACAACATTCTTATTCAATGGCTCCCCAGCTATTAACAATACCTGCATCTCCTCATCATCTGCTGCTGTCATTGTTACACTGTCTCTTTCACCCATTACTCCCATTTGACCCTTTTTGACATTTAATTTTTTCTGTACCCTCACCAATTTAAGATAACCTGATCCTCTCCAGACGTACAGTATACCTTTGTACTTTTTCGGGACACTTTGAGTGAAACTGGCTCCCTCCTTGAGATGAATGTCAAGGTACATTATGGGGGTCTGGGTCTCAATATTGGCGCTGGTTCTGAGACTTTCACCAGCTATCACTTTTACCCTCCCTTTGCCATCGGGCGTGGTCACAACCGGTATCCTTTCTGGAGGCGTGTCTTGATAACGAGGTGGGATCTGCTCAGAGGTTAACCCATAATTAAAAACCTTCAACTTTTCCGCCATTTTTAATAATGTCCTTGCTTGGCATTTCAGAATGTACGACACCAGATCCAGCAGTCATCCATTGTACCCATCCTTCTGATAGAGTACCAGAGTTACCAGCACTGTCCTTATGTTGCATGGAACCAGATACAATGTAGCTCACAGTCTCAAAGCCACGGTAAGGGTGATCAGGAGAGCTCACAGCTTCTCCCGGGCCGTATTCAACTGGGCCAAAGTGATCCAGGAGCATGAATGGGTCTAGTTATGATACTTCCCCGCCAATGGGTCGTTTTACTATGAAGCTGCCTCCTTGAAACGTATTTCTTGTTTTCGGGTATACTCACAGTAGCTGCATTACCATCATT